CCCCAGCCTCCCACCCCCCGCCCCTTCAAAATCCTCAGATTGTTTATCAGAGTCCATAGTCTCTCATGGTTCACCTCCCCTTCCAAATTCCCTCAACTGCCTTACGTTTTTGTTGACAGCAACTGCTGGAGAATGGGAATATCTCTGCCAAGAGTCTAAACCAAAGGAATTGTACTAAAAAAGGTAAAGAAGAATCCTAGGTCTTTCATGGGCACATCCATTATCTTTCCTCTTCAAAACCCTTGGTGACAACAAATTCCCCTGATGTCTCCCTCTTCAAGACAGATGGGGAAGTTTACAGCAGAAATCCCAACCTTCAGTACTTACAGCCCTGAAGAAAAAGCGAGGAACATATTCTAGAAGCTCCTGTAAAGGGCCTGAGCTGGCAGAACGGCGAGGACATAGCTCTAGGAGCCCACGAGGCCTCACTGGACGTCTGCACTTTAGCCCAGCTGCGCGACGCTGCTCAGTCAGTCTGTCCCACCCCCTGGGCTGGGAGCCTCCCCAAGATACGCACTGCCTCTCACCCAGCGTTGTGACCTACACACAGCCTGGGGGCAATGAGGAGCTAATGCTACCCACCGATGAAACACCCATGACGCTGCCACTAAGTAAGAAGAAAAGTCAATCTAGGTAGGTAAATGCCCTTTCAGGACCATCGCTGCCTCGACTCCCATCTTCCATGACTCACCTCATGGAAGCATCAACTCTGTTGCTCCTGGGGGTGGGCGAACCTTGAAAAGAGGAGGAAGGAAGACAAAGCCCGGCTAACTTAGAAGGTCCTCCGTAAACACATGCTTAAGTTGTTGGAACTGTCCATCTGTCCCTCAGGGTGCTCTCCAGACTCTCTGGGCTAAAACTCCTCCTGAAACTGAGTGTTAGAAGAGCCTGCCTCCTCTGAAGAACCCAGCGAACTCCCACCAGCCCTCCACCCTGAGCTACAGGGCCCTGTACTATGCATGCTCCGTCCGGGATTTCCCAATTCCCATCTTCCACTCGCTGTAAACAGGACACTGAAGAGCCGAACCTCTCAGCAGACGGTCGTTCTGTTCAATACTTATTGTGCGCCTACTGGATGCTGGAACCGTGTTAGGCAATTAACACACAATTAAAAAGTTATCATCTACAGTTCCCTCGAGGAGCTCCCAGACTGGCGTTCTACTACGTTTGTTTCAGAAGCAGGTAATTCCGGCCTCTGGGAGCTGACTCCCTTCTGCTGTAACTCAAGAGAGTGGGGTGTGCCCCTCCCGGCACTGCTGCCCTCTGCCCGGGCCGCAGCCTCCCTCTTCTCTGCTGGGTTTCCTCCTTGCACCTATGCCCTCCACCGTGACCAGTGCCGGTCCCTTCTCTGCCAGGTCCACCTTTGATTTCTCCCATGAGCGTGGCCTTCCAGAGCCGGCAGACAGAATACAGGTTCGTGCTATGCTGCTGGACAGCCTGGGTGAGTCAAATCCAGCCCTGCCTGCTTCCTACCCAAGCCGAGAACTTGGGCACTTTACTCAGTTTCTCATAGCTCCATCTGGCAACGGCACCCTCCTTGAGAAAGTCTGCTGAACACCACGTGAGCTGATCTACCTGAAAGCCCGAGTGCAGGGCCTGGAAACGGGTGTGCACTGGACGCCTGGCTGCCCCAACACAGTGGCTATTGCCAGATGAACCTCCACCTACCAGCATTTTGCTTCCCTTCTCTTTTTCAAAAGCGAACCATCATAGGGCGTCAAGAACAATCTCTCCACCTCCAGTCCTTGGTCCCCGATGATCTCCAGCCACTACAGGATGGCTTACAGTGTTGACTCTGGGCACCGAGATGTCGGGGGTCTAGGGGTCAGGTCACTGAACACTCGTGTGGCATGTGCAGCCTATGTGTGTGTAGGCACACGAGGTGGTTTTAGGGCTCTGAGAGGCATCTAGAGAAGGAATGTTCAGGAACTCCATCTTCATTGGGATGAATCACAAAAGAGTAATTTGACTACTGGGGTTCTTTGAATAGTCCTATGACATAAAATGCAATGCCTCTTCTTCTGCCCTTCTGCTAGGGAAAGAAGTGTGTCAATGCCTCCCCCACAGGCTTTCATTACTCCAGCCAACATGTGTTTAGAAGCCCTTGGTAAAAACCAACAATTGACTAAATGACAGATAAGCCTCACAAAAAACGTTGGAAAGCGCCTGATTACTGCCAACCTGAAGGGTTCCACAAAGGTCTCCGGATAATGAGATGCTAACGACAGTGTCAGAGGAAAGATCACTGGCCACTCACTCTGCCATCAGGAAGCAATGAAAAATCAGCCCAGGGTAGTAAATGCCAAAGGAGAACACCTCTGCTTCAGGCTCCCAGCTCTCTCAGCTCCTCGACAACAGCCACCCACTCTACTACTGGGAAAGGGGGTCCCAGAGGACCAGACAGGAAGGCTAACAGGAGAGACCCCCACCACCACTCCCTCTGATGTGACAGCTAACAAGAACACCAATGCACGGGGATAGGACAGTCACTTCGCATCACGCCATCATCCTCCCTGCATCCCTCAAGTCTGTAGAGAAATGGTGAGACTCTGTCACGATCAAAGAGGGCGGCGGCACGGCCACGACACAGCCTCCAAGGCACCATCATCTGGCCCACGCACGTCAGCAGCCACAGAGCCACCGCTCTCCCCACCTGCTCTGTTCCAGACCTAGCAGGTCTCCTTTCTGGTCCTTGAACGTGCCAACTCTCCCTGTGCAGGACCTCTGTCCTTGCCATTCCCCGTGCAGAAAGCAGGAACTCAAAAAACACCTGATCATCTGACGCACCTGCCACCCAACCAATGAACTATGGTGCTTTGCTCAGTGGGTCAAGGGGTGAGTCACAGTCTTCTTGAGCCCTCCAGAGCCGGAGTGGCTGATGAGCCTGTCAGCTTCCTACCTGGGGAAACCTACATGTGGATCACTGCCCCTCCCACCCTCACCCAGGGCTCAGCATGCTCACAGGAGCCCCAGGACATGAGCACCAGCCTCCAAACTACATGCAGGCCTGACCAAGTCCTTATAACCAAGCACCTGGCCATGGGAGCTCATCAGCTCTGCAGTCATTCAGCAAACCTGAGTCATCCGTGTCCTAGGGGAACGTGAAAACACTTGCACTCGAGGCTATTTAGCATTTACCATTTGCCAAGAAATGATCGCAGAGTATACCCAGACAAAAAGGACATGGTCTCTGCCTTCCAGGCACTAGAGGTCCCAGGGGAGACACACAGGCTGACACAACCCTGAGGGTACACGGCCCATTCCTCCCTCTACGCAGGCTTTCTGAGAACGGAATGTTGATCCAGCACCCGGCACCACCACCAACCAACTGCGGTCAATGACCCCACTGGGTAAGCCTGTGAGGTTTGGCATGGGGGTGAGGACAGGCCAGTAGGGGACAGTCCCCCAACCCAGCCCCCGGGTCCTTCCATCCTGGTCTGTCACTCTTCCCCTATCCGCCTATTATGCTAAGACCAAACCCCAGCTCATGCCCCTTTGGGCTCCCTTGAGTTAGAATTCAAATTGTTTCTCACCTCCCTTCCTTAGAGGTCACCAGGAACCCAGTGAAACAGACGGCAAGCTTGTGAGGCTGAACCAGGAACAAGCGTTGGGGGCTCCTCTGCAAAGGGCCCGGCCTCTAAAACCTACCCTGAGGTCAGCTATGTCTCCACGGCAACGGCAGGGATGTTTCTGATTCCACACATCAAGTGCACTGCAGAATATTCACAAAGCACTCAGGTGTAGACACTTACATGCACGTACGTGTACAAACACTCACGACTCGTCGTGAATGCCACACCTATGACCACAACACACACACACACACACACACACACACACACCTCGACGTATGCATATACGTCCTATGGATGAGTTGCCTATCTGAAAAGGTAGCTTCACCACGGACTGCGGCAGCGATTAACGATTTCTGATAAAAAAAAAAAAAAAAACCACGTTATCCTATCAAAGAAGTGCCCTTCTCCTTTGTCAAGAATATCAGGGAGCTAGCAAATTAGTATGTTGTGTGCTTAAAAGTAACGCAACGCTGTGTGTCAGCTCTACTTCAATACAAAGTATTTTGTTAGGTACGAATGAGGAATGTTATCGAATGACTCTTTGGTACCAGAAGATCTCTATCTGGTGTTCAGCCTTTAATCAATCACGGGGCTGACTTGATGAATTTCCTAACGTTGAGTCATCCCTGAAATCCTTAATTAATCCCTATTTCATGGGGATCGGTCCTTCCATACATAACTGGATTTGACTGGGCAATACCTTGCTAGAATTTTTATGCCCTGATGCACGACTGAGACTGGTCCACGGTTTCTTTTCTAGGCTCTTTGGCAGTTTTTGTTCTTTTGAAGTAATGTGCCCTGGAACCAAGATACAGAGACACAGATACACGTAAAGATACAGAGAAGGCTTTGAGGGAGGTACAAAGAGCAACGGGCTGTTTGTACATACCTTGAAAGGCTTTCTAGAAACCGCTATGAAACCACTCAGGTTTGCTACCTCCCAGGGCACCACCTTTATTTTTATAACTTCCTTCCCATTTCTGGATGCTCTCCAGGTAAGTAGGCTACACCCTCAATTAATTTTGATAAATAAACACTGTCTTGGGAAACAGCCCATGTCACCCATATTTGTACTTTCATCTGGATCAAAGTTGTTTGTGACAGCCTCTCCCGCTTTTCATCTCCTCCAAATCCAAGAGTGCGTTTGTTTTCCTCTGTTTAACATGACATGTTTGTGTTTTCTCTATCCCCCTGCCACAGGCACCGAAAGTGTCTAATTTAAGATTTTTCTGAAGAACCAGCTCTTAGTTTTCTTCACCAAGTTTCATGTTTCTACCTCGTTGCGTTTTGTATCGTTGGCAGTGCGAGGGGACTAGTGTCTGATTCTACTGCTAACATCTGCGGAACAGGCTGGACCTGTTCCCACAACGTCCCCAAGGCAGCCGACCCTGGGAGCAAACGCACACGGGCCAGCGCCGGCCTTACCTCGATGAGCTTTCTCTCGTAGGAGCTCGCCAGCTCCTCTGCCACTTCGCCTGGCTTCTGCTCGGCGACTGTAACTTCTCCATCAACGCTCCAAAGATTTGGCACAACTTTAGGGAAAGAAAGAAACCCCGTAAATATTTTAGCAGTCATTGGAAGTTATTCTCCCAGTAAAAAAAAAATTTTTTCTTCTTGCCAAATGGCTTCTCCAATGAGAAAGCTCTTTTTAGGGCAGGGGGGGAGAGCAGGGGGTGTGAGCCCAGCGATCACGGCTACTAATGACTTCAATTCTGCAGCATTTTCACCCGAGTACAATGAAGTGAATAATAAACTGTATTTACAAATGGAAGAACGGTCACAGAGACAGATGCACGTGAGTCTGGGGAATAATCTTGTTAATACTTCCGGTTCCAGGGCAAAACAGACAACGCATTAACAGAAGAGCCTACGCTTCCATCTTTTGCAGTGGTTCAATTTCTTTCTCTCTAACAAGAAAGTTCCCCAGTGCAGCATTGTCTGTCCACAGCAGACGTCAATGGCAGAGGGGGTCAGAGTACGGGTAGAGTCGCTAAGAACTGCCATTTATAAACCGTACTTTGAGCGGAAGCTAGGCAGCTTCGGGAGAAACTCTAAAATCAATGCATAATGACAACACAAGGACATCCTAACAAGAGACTGGCTCCCAGATCAATGTGGGAATTATTAGCACAGTAGACACCAGTGGGTGGTTGTTCCTCCTTTCAGAGACACATCCGCAAATGCTCACTTCGTGGGGAAGAGCAGGAAGTTAGGACCGGGAATGAGCAGGCGAATTCCAAGAAAATCAGGGGAACAAGGGCAGGAAGGAAGTCCCCCAGTGGCATGTATCAGGAAGAGGGATTAGCCCCCAGTGCAGAAACAAGCATCAACTAAGCAGATTCCATTCCCTGTGTGTTCCAGGAGAGGAAAGTCCCGGATGCCCCCCAGAGCGTGAGCAGATGGTCATGAAGGCCGGCCCTCCCGCAACAGGGATTTGAGAGCCTGGGGAGAGCAAGTGGGCCAAGGCTGAGCAGAAGTGGGGGTCCTGCAGCTCTGCCATCAGTTCCCTCTGCTAAACCTCCATCAGGTCACAATGAGCTCAAAGCCCAAAAGCAGCACAGCCCTGAATGACAACATCCAACATGCTGGAACCAACCTGAAGACGCTCCCACCCCAGCAGTCCCGACGGCTGCAGGCACGGCTGTGGAGTGTGACCCAGGGACCCTCCACAACCCAAAATAGGTATGAAGAGAACACTTCAAGGGCTTTCCATTAGAGCTGACAGACTGGATACATTAATTTACCTTCCCATCCTCTCAGAGTCCCATGGAAATACCCATTTTTAAAATGCTCGCAGCATCACCCTTGAGAAAAACAAGAATGAGAGAGGAAACGAGACAACAAAATTCTAGAAGCTGAGAAGCGGGCGGATCACTGGTGAAAGGCGTGTGACAGGCCTGCAAAAGCCTCCTTCTTGGCTCCAGTGGGGCCGCAGCGACATCTGGCCTGGTTAACGTGTGACAACTGGCAAACGGCAGGTAAACGGCTAATACGAGGCACTTCTAGACGTGGAGATACACATGGAGCTCAAAGTGAAGAGATACAAAGTCTGTTTAAGAAGCAATCTGCAGGAAACGAGAGGTTTATTCTCCGGAGAAAATAAACCTGTAGCACCGGACTGAGCTGAAGGTCTGGGTACCCGGCGGGAAACAGAGGAAACGAACCTGCTGAACTTGCGTGCTTCGCCAATGCCCAGAGCAGCCGCCCGTCAGCACACACCTACCTCTAAGCAGGGAGGGGGAAACGTGGTCCTAGGAACGTAAGAGGCTGAAGAAAAAGGCCCAACGGGACCCATGGGGTCTCTCCAGTGAAATGGCAGAGCCCGCTCGCCCCACCAGGAGCTGAGCACCGCTTTCCGTCCGCTTCTTAGCATCCCACGTCTACCTCTGAGTGGCCGGCAGGAAAGCACCTCACAGCTGCGATGAGCTCTTAAGATGGAAAACGGGGACCAGAATCAACAGACAGAGGAAAACAAGTTCTAAGAAAAAGACCCAAGTTAGGGAAAAAGAACACTCGAAAAGCAAACTATCGGTAATAATCCCAGAGCGAGAAGATGGTATAGTTGAAAAAGGTACAGAGAGGTATTTAAAAAGAAAAAAAGAAGGACACACAGAGGGGATGAAGAAAAAAAAAACTCTTCTGCAAAGCAAAACTGTGATAGAGGAAATGGAACACCGGATACAAAGGAGAGAAGGTAAGAAAATTTCAAGAGAGCCAAAGGATAACAAGACAGAAAACAAAGAAGGTAAATGGAGAGTTATCATTTCAGAAGAACCCAAGAAATGGGGGAGGCGGGGAGTTAACAGACAAGGAAATCAGAAATTTAATTCAAGAAAACACCCCAGGACTGAGAGACAGGCATGTGGAGACAGAGAAGCTCACCGAGCGCACGGCGCAGTGGGGGAGCCACACTCGGGCCTCGCAGGGGAGTGTTGGAACACGAGTAACAAGGGGCACATGGAGGAGCCCTTTCACAAAGCACAACCAGAAAGGACACGGGGTCTCTGAACACCACCGCTATATGCTAGAAAGCAAGGAAGTGATCCTGTTAACGTCAGGAGGGGAAGTATTTCCGACCTCGAATTCTGTACCAAGACAAGCCCAGTGCTAAGAAGGTGAAAACATCCTCAGACGTGCAAACTTTCCAAAATCTTCACCTGCCCCCCAAACAAAACAGAAGAAATCTAAGAAAAAACAGATGTTCTAGGAAATAGAGGATACAACATGAAAGTGAGAAGATTGCTAATAACAACCAAAAAGTGGGCACAACCCACAAGGCCATCACAGAGGACAGGCAGGTCAGCACGCTGCGGTCTGTCCCTACCATGGACTAGAACTCGGCCATAAAAGGACCGAAGCACGGCGCCCTGCCACAACGCGGCTGTGCCCGGAAAGCATCCTGAGAAGGGGAAGATGCCACAACAGCTGCAAGAGGCCACAGACAGCGGGACCCCATTCGTGGGCAATGTCAAGAACACGTATTAGTTTCCAGGAACCGGGAAGGGGGAGAGATGGGGCGCTCATGGGGATAGGGCTGCTCTTTGGGGTGACAGAACACACTGGATTCGGAGAGAGGTGGGATGTGGCACAACCTTGTGCAGATCGTGCACTCCAGGGCCCATAAACTTTCTCTAAATAAAGGAGCAGCAGTGGGAGCCACGAACCAGAGGAACCAGCCTGTGGAGCAGCCAGACCTCCTCCAGCCACAGTGGTCCTAGGACTGCAGGAGAGATTGTCTCAGGATTGAATGGACGGGTGCCCTGTTTTTAACAGAGATTTCCGTGAGAGAGCACCTGCATTTGGGTTACCAATGAGTTCATACAGCATGAACCAAAATGTTTTTTTCAAATATTAACTCAAAAGAAATTTAAAAGTTGTGTGAAAATAGTGATCACACACCTCCCAGCTCAGCTGGAGGGCGTTTTCCAAGTCCGAGCAATGTATTCATGGCCCAGGAATCAAACCAAAATGATGGTGTGCCTGTGCTGGGGGTTGGAGGGACAGAAGAGCGATCCCTCACGTTCCACGGCGAGAAATCAATGGAGAACACGTTCGGCTGAGCAAAGAACAAGCAGCAGCAGACGATACTGTTCAGCGACATCAAAAGAGCTCCCAGAACCACCTGTTCCAAGGCTGGAAGCAGCTGCTTGCGGGGAGAGGGACACGGCAGAGGTGAGGCGACTAGGAGCGTCGGGTCTTCCACGGCAAGGCTACGTGCCAGTGCTGGATTTCAACAACAGAACATCGCATTGGATTCTAAGTAAGAAAACAGAATCTGACAGGAGGCTGCACTTAGAAAAGTGTGGCCAGATAGCAGCAGCGCCCACCAAGGCAGGGCGGACACCCCAGCACGAAGCTGTGTGAGGCTGACTCGCGAAGCCCGGCGCTAGGACACATCTAAGGCATGACAGATGTGTGCACAGCAGGGCCTGCCGGCCGGTGCGCTCCCAATGACCTGATCTGTGCCTGAGCGAGGCTGCCTTCCTCCACCAGGAGATCCTGCTGATCAGCAAGACACAGCCATCTAACCTGCTTCACATCTGCACCGCTCACACTCTGAAACCCAGCCGTGGGCCCTCACCCCTCAGACCAGCAGGCCCTCTGGAGGCACATCTAAGAGCAGGCCACAGTGTCCCACGCCGAAGGAGGCAGATGCGTGAGGAAGCTTTTTAACCTTCAAGACGAGGAAACAGACCCCAGATAGTCATGAATTTATAAAAGGTCTCTTAGAAACTAACCAGCCGACCTTCGCCCCCAACTATGTGACCTCCTGTTGCCCGGGTTCAGTTCGCACAGCTTTAACAAGCAGGCCAGAAACTTCCATCCCGTGTATAAAATGCTAAGTAACGAACCCCAGCTGTAGCAGGCTTCCCCCCCCCCCAAAGGCGGCCTCTCAGACAGCTCCCAGTGATCCCTCCCTCCTGGTCTCCACCTGTGAGCACGGGCTGGACTCACTCACCGCAAATGAGTTGTCACATCTAAGATCAAGTTTACAAGCCTCTGTCTTGGTGCCCGCACCCGCTCTGTGAGCAAAGCCAGTTGCCATCTCAGGAGCAGCCTTATGGAGAGACCCACGATGTATCCACCGGCAGTCTGGGGTCTGCCAGCAGCCCCCCAAGTGGTCACGGACCCTCCCCCATCAATCCTTGAGAGCATTAACCACAGCTCTGGCAGGGACTCAGAGTCCGAGCACGCAGTCGAGCCCCCCCGGGGTTCCTCCCCCTCACAAATGGAAATCAGTCCATGTTTGTGGTTTCAAGCAGCTGAATTTGGGGGTCATTTGTTACACGGCAGAAGATTAACAACACAGTACCTTTAATCATTCAACGGGTACTTCCCCAGAGAGCACTGTGGGTGGGACCTGACTCAGGCCCTGGAGTTGCAAGGACGACAGAACAGTTCCGCAGGGATGACGCTTATGAAAAGGACAACACAGAGCTGCACTTGGCCGAACTATCTCCATGGCGTAAGGGTTATTAGGAAACTGAAAGGAGCCATTTAACTGGCCAGACACCTTCCACCTCTCCACTGG